AAGCCATGGTAGGCGACTCGAACTACGAAGATGACGATGCAATCAATAAACAGTCGAAGCCACACTATCTCGTAGTGTAATTCCCACGGAGGTTACTTCATGAATGGAATTAGTTTGCAACAAAGGCAATTCGTGAATTTCAATCATTGGCACAATTTGGCAGCATCAAGCCATAGACAACCAAGAGAGTAAGCATCCAATCGAAACCAGTAAAAAAGAAGAGGAAAAACAAAAGTAGAAGAAGAAGACGAATAAAATATCCGCTCATAGATCAAGTCATATCAACAACACTTATTCAAACTACTATAGTATATCATTCGCCGCAACAAATTCGAAAATTGGAGCTAACCACGAATTAGAGGTCATCGTCGTTTGAAAAGAACCAGGGCGAGACTGTCTGTCAAAGAATAGTGATAGAGTTTGAGTGCTACCGATTGCTGAAAACAAATTTTTAAAAGTCCTCTACGAACAAACAAGTATCAATCACTCGGTGCAGGGATAAGGCCCATTCAAGGTAGGTAAGGAAAACAATATGCGTCAACTAACAAGGCTTCGTCAACGGTCCAAATAACAAGGTTCAAGGTTCAATACCCACAAAATAAAAAGTTAGTTCCCCAATTGTCACTTATAACGACCCTTAAATCGACGCCCCAATGTGTTACTGCACTCGCAAATTTATTCCTGACAAGGAACCACTTCCAACTTGTTAAAATTTTGATCCTATGGTCTAAGCAACCAAAAAAATATTGGGAAAGTTGACAAGAGCGAAGTCGAAGTAGTGCTCCAGATACCCTTTCGGTCGGCCATAGCTTGTGCTTCAAAGTGAGTAAGAGGGCAAACTCGATGCCGAGAGGGTATAAAAGTGAAAGTCTAGGCCTGATGTAGAAAAAAATTCAAAAAATATGATAACCGTCACCGCTTGTTGTCGAATGAAACATTAAAGACTTTGGAAAATCAGACAGGAATTGTTGGAAATCACTCGTCGTTTTTTGTGAGTAGCAGCAAAACAATTTGGCAATGCATCATTGAAGATTTTCACCATATAGCCAATGTAGTCCCAACAGTCACGTTCATTAGTTTGCTCAAGTGCAAGATGGGAGTCATAAAACTTACGAAAGAGATCCACAATGCTTTGAGCGGTTGTCAAAGAAGATGAGCAGTCCTTCGCATATTTCACGAAAATAAAAACGTCATCAACAATCCTGAATCTAAACACCAACTTTCAAATCACAGCCAAGTGAAGATAGAAAACAAGTTTCCTGTGACGTCTCCAACATCGGGGGGGCGCCCTCCAGAATCCCCCGACCTATCCTGGCTACCCCTTGAGGCTCCAGTGCAGGCGTTAGGAATGATCATGACAGCCTGAGGCTGGCCTATGACCAACGATGAGCGGATAAAAATCCCGGCCATGGCTAAGCTGATAAATTGGAGCCACAAGCCAACCTCAATTTTCGGGAAGGCGTTGGAGATCAATAATGTGGTGTCGGCCTCCCTCTGGCACATATCTCTCCTCTGGCCCCTCAACGAGACTGCCCTGAAAGCATTGAAAAAAAACACATCGCTGCATTCTTGGCGCGAGGGGACATCGAAAATATGCATGCTATTAGCCTATTAGTAGGGTGGCCTGAGATTCCATCATCCATCCCAAGGCTCAAGGGGGATTGGCCATTCTTGAACCCCACACGCAAGCGCAGACCTTGCGATAGGGGACATGGATTGTTGGGGTTTGCTTGGGGTACACGGGTCATTTGCTCCCGGAAAACATCGTTGAAAATTTGGTATCTACTGTGTAGACGTTAAGGATATGAGTGATACTTCACCTCCTTTACCTCCTTGTGATCGCTTCCCAGAGTACACTGTTGGGGGCAACAGGTTGCTTCGTGAGGAATCATTCACTGCCTTCTACCGTCTTCACCCGAATAGAACGCCCGGTCATTATAGCTGTATTTGATGCAACTTTCAGTCCAGATACGGCCATAATTACTGGGCGTTCTGTTCGGGTGGGGCATGTTAAAAAAAAAAAGAAGAAGAAAAAAAAAGAAGAAGAAAAAAAAAAAGGTAGTCAACAGGTCCAAGATGCCAGTCGAAGTCAAGACTGGCGTGGTCCGTGTATTGGAGTCAAAACACATAAGAATATTTAAAATGTGCGGATCAAAATTTTAAAACTTGTCGACAAACCTTGGAAAGGATGGGAGGGTTAACAAACAAAAGAAGGAGAATAGTGGGGGGGTGGGGGGTGGGAACAATGGCTAAAGATGGCTTCTCGTTGAAGCGTCGATAAACGGTAGGCATAACTTCTCCTCGTATACAGTTCTCAGTTGAAACACGCAAATTCCCCGGAGTGGTGCGAGTGGTGCGAGTGGCATGTCCGGAGCGTATTTTTTGGCTGTGATTTATCTTTCTTTGCTTTGGGGGTGCTTTATTGGTTTATGATGGATGTCAACCTGCAGTCTATAGTAAAAAAAAAAAAAAAAAAGGTTTTCTGTCTAGTGTGGATCGAATAGTCTGCTTCGACTTTCGTAACACATTAAGGGCCTCGCTGCACAATCTCGACATGCAGAAAAGACAAAAATATTGGCGGTGTATCTTTCCATATTCTACCGGAAGATTCACTCTCGTTTTGCACATTTCGAGAGTAGGGCAGCGAGGCCCTAAACCACCAGTGTGAAAAAATAGAGCAGAAACGTTTCTTGTCGGATGAATTTGGGCGCTCCTGTAGTGGCCTGTACATTTCCTAAAATCGTGGCTTGTTAACGGGCCCGACTTTAGGAAGTGCTGGCGGTTTAAGGAGAGTGGTTGGTGCCCACCTCAGGATCTGAGTTATTGGGCAGTAGTTGATGCTTAACCGCAACTGGGGCTCAGATGGACAATCGCTTGCAGTGTCACCGGTTATGGGACTCTGAAGACTGTATAGAGGGTTCGACGGAACTCAACCTCATGGTGATGAAGCGATGGAAGTCAGATGAAAAAGTTTTTCACAACCCTTCGTTTGTTGTCCTCTTCTCCCTCTCTGCCTGCGGCTCACCCCGGACATTTTCTTATGACGATATATATACTATGACTTTGCTAACTCCCTGCTATGATTGTTATTGGTGAAGTTGATACGGCTGTGGTGGGGACCACCACTGCGGGGTCTTGTTCTACCTATAGTGTTAGACTGTTAGTGGTGTGTCTGTACTACTCTGTAGTGTATTTTCCGGCTATGACGAACTTTTCTTTGTTTCGTGAATGTTTTCTTAGGTTATGATAAAATGTGAACCTCTGGTCTGTAGAGTTTTCTATTTCGCTGCCATGGTGCTAGACTCAGCGGAAGTCTCGCCAACCAAGTATGCTCGCAAACATGAGTCGGATGCAGCATCGCAGCATGTGGAGCAGCAGGCTAGTCATGATTTCCCCCCTAGGGGACACAGCAACACTGGAGGAGTGGCAACTCCAACTCGTTTAGTCTCCGTCCGATCTTTGAGAACGCGCGAATCTTCCACAGGGAGAAATCTCCCCCGCGGGTGGAGGGGGTTAGAGCTTAGAACCCCTCACAGCAAGTCCCTCGACAGCGTTGCCCTATACTGCCTACCTTAGACGTTTGCTCATCCACTTGCTTGCCTCATTGCCACCTGCTTTATTTCCTGTTGCTGACTGCAGTGATGCTTTGCTAAACGCCTCCGCAACGCGTTGTTTGCTGCTCCGCCAGCCCGCCTGCCTGCCAGCCAGCCTGCTCACCTGCTTTGTCAAATGCCTCACACGACTTCTGTGTTGACTTGCAGTGTTTACCGTTGACCACGTTGACTTCTGTGTTGATTTGCAGTGTTTACCGTTGACTACATTGACTTCTGTGTTGACTTAGTAGAAAATTGAAATAACCTCTTTCTGTGACTCAATTTTATTTTATTTTATTTAGGATGGTTCTATTTTTATTCCAAAAATGATAGAATTGATTTTTAGAACAAACTGAATGAAAAATAACAAGATGAGGAAAAATATTATAATAGGCCAACGTCGACTTCTGTGTTGACTTGCAGTGTGCAGTGTGGTGCCTGCCTGACTGCCTGACTGCCTGCTCGCATGCTTGCCTTGCTGCTTTGGCTGCACGGCCCGCTGCGTTGCCACCGTGCTGAGTGGCTTGCTCCCTGCCCTGTTTCCTTCCTGCTCGCTTTGCTGCTCGCCCCGCTGCCTCTAGCTCATTGCTTTGTTCCTCAGCTAGAGAGAGGTGTGATGCAGCACACACGTTCTCGTGCATGACGGGCTGCCCTTTGTTTTTTTCTCCCTTCGTGGAGCCATCTGACTTCGTCTTCATTCTTCACAAACAATATCAAACACAAACATGCAAGTGCGTGTGTGCACTTGCAAGCCCGGACTTCCCAGAAGAGTATATGACATCATCAATCAATGGCAGACCGAACAGCTTGCCGCAAACCACCCTCCTGCTGAGCTAGTGACAGTCCAATGAAACTACTTGTCATCGTCATGCTTCCAGCCTTCCACTGTGGATTCATCGTCATGCTTCCAGCCTTCCGCTGTGGATTCCAGCCTTCCGCTGTGAGTTTTGCACTGTTAGGAAGCGCGGCAACACGCATGCAGTAAAGCACATGCGACACACATTCGTACAAAACTCACAAACACAGGCACAGGACATGCATACCTGCAGACACCAAGGCAAAAACAGTGCAATGCTTGTGCAAATTCCAATCCCAAGCCGATTTTCTCGATTCTTTCTGCGGAAGCAGCAAAGGCAAATGAAATTGAATCTCTCAAGTTCGCCTCACACTACCTACCTACCACTACTCCTAATTGTAGGCATGCGGGGAACCCCGTAGCAGCCCCAACCATGTTCACGAGAGAACATGAAGGGGAGCCGTTGCTGTCCACAAAGTCGACCATCGACAAATACGTTTCATGGCACAGATCTTAAAGCAGACTGGCAAACATGCATTGTAGTAGACAACAATGGTGCTTGAGAGCCCATTGAAAAGGTCCCCCCCCTGTTACTAAGAAAAAAAAAAGTTCCTGCTTGCTTGTCTTTATTGCTTCAAACTTCAAACTTCAAACTTCAAACATTGCACTCAAGATCCAAAACATACCAGCAAGATTCACATGGTAAGAGCAGACTCGGAAGAGTCGGAAATTAATAAAATTATTTACAACTCGAAAATTCGAAATCATATAAAAAGTTAAGAACAGGTTCTCCAGCTTGCGGCTATCGCCGCCGCCGCCAACAACACCAACAAGCAGCTCTCTCTCTCTCTCTCTCTCTCTCTCTCTCTCTCTCTCTCTCTCTCTCGCTCGCTCGCTCTCTCCTTTCTAGGTCAGCGGATTTGAGAGGGAGGGGCGCCTTACCCAGAAGGAGGAGGAAGTGAGAGGAAGTAGAAGCGAATGCACAAAACGGAGAGAAAATAAAGAAGAACAAGATGATGCAAGTGAAAACCGAAGGACAAGTGAAAAAGTCGAAGTTCATGCACAAAATGAAGAGAAGAAGAAGAACAACAACAAAATCACAATGCTACCAAGTGAAAACCGAAGTAGAAACTAGTGAGAAAGCTGAAAGTCGTGCATAAAATGAACAGAAAATGAAGAAGAACAAGATCACAATGCTACCAAGTGAAAACCGAAGTAGAAACAATTGAGAAAGTAGAAAGTCGTGCATAAAATGAACAGAAAATGGAGAAGAACAAGATCAGAATGCTACCAAGTGAAAACCGAAGTAGGAACAAGTGAGAAAGTAGAAAAATGGAGATGGAAAATGTAGAGAACCCTAATCTAATCTCTTTCTAAAAGAAAAGAAGAAAAGAGAGAGAGAGAGAGAGAGAAGAAAGAGAAGACAGAAGGGGGAAGAAGGATACGGGAACAAAGGGAGGAGGGAGAAGAGCGGGAAGAAGAAGAAGAACAAGACGAAGACGAAGACAAAGACGACGACGAAGAAGAAGAAGAAGAAGAAGAAGAAGAAGAAGAAGAAGAAGAAGAAGAAGAAGAAGAAGAAGAAGAAGAAATAGAAGAAGAAGAAGAAGAAGAAGAAGAAGAAGAAGAAGAATGTTCTCCTTTATCCCCACTGACATCCTTATTGGTCTTGGACGTTGGTGGGAGCTTGATGGAGACCTGTTTGTAGTCCAATCCCTCCCTCCTCCTCTTGGAGTTATGTCCCTTCTTCTTCACCCTTCTTCTCCCTTCTTCTCTTTCTCCTTCCTCAAGTCTCCTTCTTCCTTCTACTCTCAAGGTTTCCTCCTTGGTCCTCCTTAGCTATGGTGGACCCCCTAACACTAGAGCTATGGAGTCCTTCCCTCTAGGAGGGTTATGGAGGTTCCCACTAGCCTCTCTTCCTCCTCTACAGTCTGAGGGCTATGGCGGAGCACTTCCCTAGGCCAGCACCACTTCCCCCTTTCCCTCTAGCCCCTCCCCAAGCTCTAAGGACTGCTCTTAAGCTCCCAACTACCGTCTTCCCCCGAACACAACGCACCCTTATTTTGGCTGTATCTGGCCGGAAATATAGCTTGTATACATTCATTTTTAGGGTGCGTTATGTTCGGGGGAAGACGGTAGCAGGGGTTCCCCTCCTCTCACTCCGGTTGAGTCTAAAGCTCGTCCAGTTGCATTGGGGCAGCATCTGGATACCTGATGCAAATGTGAGTGAGGCGGCTTACTCCGTTCACTTATATAGATTGCCCAAAGTAATTCAGCCAGCCTTTGGGCCTCTCCCATGCGCGCAAAGTGAGCCAGCGTGCTCCCAAGGCCCCTCCTCACTTGCCAGGTACATGCAGTGGGATAACATCTTCTCCTGCGATAGTTCCGCCACCGATACTTCGCATAAGAGAGCCTCTATTATGCGGTGTGATAAAATTTTCTCCTAATTTCTACATTTTCTCCTCTTTTTCCTCCCCCTCCTTCATTGTCCTCTCCAATTCTTCTCTTTTTCTTTTCTTCGCCTCCGTCTTTTTCCTTTCGGCTTCTCCGAAGTGGGCACCAATGGTAACGATGGAGGGCTCAGTATAAACTGCCATGGTCAGGTTCCTCCGCTGGATGTCTCTCTCTCCCTTTCCTCCTCCTCCTCCTCCTCCTCCTCCTCCTCCTCCTCCTCCTCCTCCCCTTTTTGTTTCTCTCCTCCGTCTTCTGCGGCGCCATGTAAGCCATATACGCCTGCCTGTAGTTCTTTAATGTGCATCTGGAGCACCGTTCACCATCCACGATTTTGGCACACGACAATACCGCAGCCCTTCCGCACGTGACAGAACTGAAGTCGAGGAGGTTCTTGGCACTGGTCTCCTTTTTGTGCATGTGTCTGTGCGTCCCACATGATTCCGGACCCTTCCTGCCAGGCCCCGCCCCGGAAGACACAGAGATTCAGTCTGTCGTGGGCCTTCCCTGAGACTGAGCTACAACCGGACCGGGACTGGACACGTGCCGTCTTTCTTTTTGGCCCCGCGGGGCAAGTGGTCCCGGGCAACTCTCGTAGCCCAGGCAATAACATATATCACAGCACAAGAATGGGCTGCCTTAAAGTCCTTTGTAAATGGTAATATCATAATATGTAGGCGCTGCCTCCTCCCTGAGGCTGACTTTCAGCGCAGGGAGGGGCGGGGATCAGAAATCTATGATCATATATATCTAATCGGGCCCTCCTCAACCGAGCGTGGCGAGCTAACCCATGTTTGTAGCTTTGTACATATTCAAATTTCACACCTGACATTTTCTTAAACTGTTTAAACTGTTTAAACAGTAGACTGCGCATCGTTACTTTTTTTTTTTTTTTTTTTTTTAATTTGGACCATTTCTCGATTTATGCGTGTCATCCTTGCGCAGGCAGGGGCCATGCTAATCTTCTTTTCTCCGTATCGTTCCAATTTTAACGGATGTCCCGAAGGACGCGTCGTTACTTTTCTAAGTTTTCTTACATTTCTGTTTTAAATTCCGACGTAATCTGATCTGCACGTACAAGTATGCAATCCAGAGTTTACTTCAATGATGATTTCGTTTCCCTAAGGGTTGATCTGGTGATGAACATGTACAGCCCATCTATGTAGTTCAGTTGGGTTACTTCCTTGAGTCGAGAAATGCTGGAGACTGGACAGCATCAGAGACAGCGACGGCGACGGTAGACATGAGCGACTGGTCGAGTGACGAGCTCGCAAGCATGTTGAACAAGAGATGACATACAGCGCAGGTTACGGACACTCCCAAAATATCCATGATCACCTGCAAGTAAACATTTTGCCACATGGCATCACATGACACCCCATTAGAAAGTTAGAACAAAAGAAAAGAGCTGCACCCAAGATTTTTTTGTTAAATGGCAAAAGAAAAGAGCTGCACCCAAGATTTTTTTGTTAAATGGCAAAAGAAAAGAGCTGCACCCAAGATTTTTTTGTTAAATGGCAAAAGAAAAGAGCTGCACCCAAGATTTTTTTGTTAAATGGCAAAAGAAAAGAGCTGCACCCAAGATTTTTTTGTTAAATGGCAAAAGAAAAGAGCTGTACCCACCTAAGATTTTGTTAAACGGGAAAAGAAAAGAGCTGCACCACTATATCCCATCAGCATCAGTAAAGACAGTATACATAGCATCCACTACTCAGCGAAGACGGGATCCAGTTGTTGAATTGGTTGGATTGATTTAATTTGCCTTGTTTGGTTGCTTCGTTGGTTCCGTCAATTATCCGTTTGACTTGTTTGCTCGCTTGGTTGTTCGCTTGTTCACTTGCTCCTCTCTTCCATGGTTTGTTTCCCCCTCCTTCCTTTGGTTGTTTGTCTGTTGGTGTCCTTCGCTGCTCTCAAATCCTGTACCGACTTGTCCCTTTCCTCTCTCCCTTTTTCTTCCCTCATGCCCTTGTTCCTGGACTTGATTGGTTCTTCGTTCCTTCGGAATCCTTCCATTGCTCACTCGACCCTTCCTTCCCTCGCTCGCTCCTTTCGCACCAATTCATTCGTATTTCTCTTGTTAACGCCTGCCCAAGATTGCTTTCCCCTCCCCTTGCATGTTTGTTCAATCTTCCCCTCCCTCCCTCCCCTCCCTCCCTCCCTCCCTCCCCCCCCCCCCCCCGTTGATTGTTCACACCTACCTCTCCCTCTCGAGGTCCCTCCCTCCCCCTCCCTTCTTCAGGCCATCTCTGTTTCTATTGTTGGTCAAGCAAGATATCACCACTACTTCTGAGCCTCTTCCACAAAACTGCCGCTTTTGGCTCTCGAGGCTCAGAAGCTGAGCCTCTTCGATCACCTACCGCTCCCTGTCGAGGTCCCTCCCTCCCTTCTTCAGGTTCCACTACGTGCTATGCCAATGAGCAAATGAGCGGCCATTTACCAAAGGTGAATGCCGACCCAGTGCATACACCCATATCATCAGGGGGTGGAAGCGATGGAAGGGGGCGCGGGAGGGGAGGGAGAGGGATTGGGAATATTGTGACTCTCTTTTTCCTCAATTACTTCCGTCCAAAAAAAATGCAGCCAAGACTGCCAGCATCTCACAAAGAAATACCTGAACAGATGTTCCCGCATTTGCTGGGTCAAATCCACCCCATGCTAGGAGGAAAGGGAGGGTCGAGCCCACGACCACTGATGTCAACACGATCACGAACAGCGAGATTGAAATCGCGATGGAGTTCTGCAAGGGCAGTGGCACAGCAGCATGCAAAGTTTGCAAACCAATCACCAAAAAAAGTTAAAAAAATGCAAAACGGACATTCAACAACAACACATGGACAGTCGGAAGCTGGAACAAAATTGCTGCTGAATCCAAGCGCACGATCAATACGGACGGACTTGGTTACAAAAAACTTATTTTTACCTTTCACCTTTTCAAAGCCTAAAGGACTCTAATAGTTAGTCTACAGAGTAGTATAGACTCTATAGTAGAGTCTATACTGTACAGTTATAACTTCAACCTTTCCTTTTTGTTGCAAAATTGGCCTTTTGGCAGACCCATGATGAGCCCAAAACATTCATAACATCTATCACCCGCTTCCTTCCCTGGGTCCCATATGGGATGTTTGAACGTCGGACCAATTGGTAAACAAACCTGTTGTCAATCGATGAATGTCAAATTTTCGATCAATGACTTGATTGTCAAAATCTTGTTGCTCATTGACGGCTGGAGTCCAACCCATGGACGAACGAAAAACAAAGTCTTCTTCTTCTTCTTCTTCTTCTTCTGGCTGTCCACCTCCCTGGTCTTCGGAAAGTCCCACACTTAAATGCAGGTGGTGCCAGCTCTGCCCAGTACAGCTAGCGACCAGAGAAGCTTGAGAATGCTTTACCAAACACAGAACTTCAGTTTCTCTGCAGATAACCTGCCAGCTGTTAGCTTCTGATTGCTCACCTGGTTGGCAGGTGGTGACTGTCCACTCAGCACCCTGCTAACAGTTGGTGGTGAAGTCCTGCATTGAAGACCAACACACACACACTCACCTACCGGCAAACCCAGGCCTCGGCGTCTATTCCCCACACCCCCCCCTCCCCCCGCCCAACCCCCCCCCTGCGGCCTTGCTTAGTTCACAACCCCAACCCCTAAGGGCTATATATCTGCACCGTTAAGGGCAATGCAACATAACCCCAATTAATGATGCGGGCGTCTCTTTGGGATGCTTTGAGCCCGCCCCAGACCGTGATACTTATCTATTTAGGGGCACGTGCAACTGGACGATGTCTGGGCCTTTGTACAGAAATCTGGTGGCAACAGTTGGGCATGGTATTTTTTTTCTCCCAATTACAAGCAGCGCATTCCAGAACCTAGACACACAGACACGGGTAAGCGCTGACTGGAACTCCTTTAGTACCAGACAGGCAATATATATGAGGGATACAAAATTGAAAACCCTATATGAATAACCCCCAAAATACACCACCCCTCTCAACTTCACAGTCTTGGGCAGGCTATGCGTCTGCAGAAATTGACTGTGAAATGACTCAGACAAAAGTGAGCAAATACGTTGACTTTCTTGAAAGTTTCTTCCCGTTTCTCTTGTCAGAAACAAACAAAAAAACAAGCATCCAGTGCTGAAGACCGTACTTGCCAGAACATGCGGGATCAGGAAAAGCTTTGGGGGGGGAGGGAAGGAGTTGGACATGAGCTGTCCATTCGCTATATAACCTGCATGGCACCAAGTGCGCACCGTTCCCCATGGGGGTTCTCTAGAAAGTTGAAAGGAATTCAAAGGATACATTTTCAACAGCTAATCAGCAAGAAAGGTATGGACTTACTATGAAGGAAGAGATGCAAAAGAGGAGGGGAGGTAGGATGGAAGGTCAACGTAGAGGCCAGCAAATGCTGCTTACAGTAATGCCATAGCCACTTGCCAGTACCCGTACAAAGGCCATCCCGCTCAGTGCAACTGCCAATAGAAACCCCACCATCAGCTGCTCCTGCAAAACCCAAATACAAACATTCAGATTCCCAGCAACTCACCCTAGGAAAGATGTCACCCCAATTTAAACATTCAAATTTCCAGCAATTGCCTCCACCCCTCACCCTCGCCCGGGGCCCCAAGAAAAAATGTAATCCAAAATACTTCGATACCCAACAACCACCCTTCCCCCACCCTCTCACCCCCTCTCTTCCCATCCCCATCACGCCAGATCTGTTGCCAGACTCCGATATAGAGATTAGAGATTCACAATCAAACAGTTTGTTTGTCGCGAAAATCAAAGTCAGTCAGTTCCTGAGATGCCACCTGCAAAAGACAAAGCAGAGAATCACTCTCAAGAGTCTACACTACCACTGACCCCACAGATAGAAGCACAAACTGTAATGACCCGCCAAAACACAGACTGAAAACACTGCTGATTTCTGGGATTTGCCGCTGGAATGAATGCCTTGCTGAGATTCCCGCATTCTGTTGTGGTTTCCAAGTCTGTGTGAGTGTGCGTGCCTGCTGGTTTGCGTGCCTGTCTGAGTGCTTGCCGGCTGAGTGTGTGTGTGACCCACAAGGGTACTTGTTGGTTGAGAGACCCCGCAGGGCCGGTACTTACCTGTGGCCGTGACTTTGAGGGTTGCAGCGGGGAAAACACTCAAGTAGCGGGGGTAGGCCCGCGACACTTAGAGCCGCAGGGAACAACACTCAAGTAGCAGGTAGGCCGGTACCACTCAAGTAGTGGTAGAAGTGTCGGCAACTGGAGGCCGAGCAGAAGAAGACAAAAAGCTGGCATTTTTAGAGGCCCAGTAGCGGTAGGTTAGAGGTAGGCTGGTACCAGTCCAAGTAGCCTGAGTCTAGGGCCTGTCCGGACGATAGCAGAGCCTGCAATGATGTTTTCCCTCCGAAAGGGAGGAGGTACCGGTTGCTGGGAGGCCGGTCGGCCTAGGAAGTTACCGCCCAAGAGACCAGTAGGCCGCTATGTCTTCCGGTTGCGGTATGCAAGGATTGGCGACATGCTGCTGGAGCCAAGTGGACTTGGGCAGCGCTGCCTGGAGGTGACGAGCAGCTGGGCGCTCAGCCTGGCTATGGCGAGCAGCCCAGCCTGGGGAGGAGGAAGAAGCGGGCGAAGGAGGAGAGTGGCGAGGTACCTACCTGGCTATGGTGGACACCATCTTCATCACCTTGTTGGGCGCTGCATCTGGAAGGCCCCAGTTGGGGTAGTGCCGCACCAAGGAAGCTCGAGGCAGAGCCAGGCATTGCGGCTTAGTCAGCAGCGGCATAGCTGCTTTGGGTTGTCCTTTGGACAGGAGTGCAGCGACATAGCTCCTTTGTGTTGTCCTTTGCACAGGCTGGCAGAGCCCTCAGTAGTCCGCCATAGCCTAGGCATGTGAGAGGTGGAAGAAGGGGGGGAAGCCATGGCTATGGTGGACCTATTGTGATGTCAGAAGTAAGAGGGAACTTCGGACATTGATTCTGGTTCATCCACTCATTGTTATTATTATTATTGGAAGAAGAATAAGATTGGTGAAGTGAAGGGAGAGGAGGAAGGTGGAGAGAGAAGGGGGATTTGTCATTGGTCTTGCTGGTGTACATCTTCTTCTTCTTCTTCTTCTTCTTCTTCTTCTTCTTCTTCTTCTTCTCTCTCTCTTCTTTGGTCTCTATCTCTTTGCAAGTGCTTTCATTTCTTTCGCAATTGGGTGGCATCGTCTTTCATTGTGAATTTGCACTTTGGGAATGACCAGGATCGTGACAAAACACAAAAAGATAGTCGAAATGAGCAGAATCAGACCCAGGACGATAGAGAAGCCAGCATCCAAGAACCGAAAATCAAAACGAAGAAAAAAGGTAAGCAACGAGAGAGTGTGTGCATTTTGTCGCAGAGCCAACTCGCATGGACGAGTGCTTTTCCACATGCATTTCGGCAACGCTGCCCTTGCTTTTTTTCTGAGTGCTGGACGTTGGGCATTGGACGGTTCTTGATGATCGGCAAGGTTCCCCATGATCGGCAGACAGGTGCACAAGCAGGGCACCACACTCACTGTCACCAAAGGTCTCAGGAATGTGTGTATAACTTCGATTCGGAGTTTTCAGATTCAGAGGGTCGAGACGGCCTTTCTATTCGATACTAGAAATTGTAATTTAACGTTTTCAACTTTTCAGCTGGTTTCCTCTTTCTTTTGGAAAAAAAAAACAAAAAAGAAACAGGGGTCTTAAACCGCCCAGTGCATCGCCCAGGCAAGCTTGAGAATAGAAATTGCCAAATTGGCCCAATCCGAAGATTTTGGATGAACAGTGCTGGCGGACCAAAGCGGATGGCGGCGCCGGCCAAAAACGAAGGAAAGTGCACTGCTGCTGGTCCATTTTTCCTTGGGGCGGAGTGCAAAAAAATCCGCTTCAGGAAAAAGAGGCTCGGAGGTACTGGTGGTTTAGGTTCATAACTTTCTAAGGCTGTGCTTTTTCTTCTCCTGTAGTTTATCTGACTTGCTAGTGGGAAAGAGGCCACACTGATGTTCCCAGTGGAATGGGCAGCAGAGAGAACAAAGTTCTGCTTCCCCTTCGTCACTGGGGACAAACAACACGTGGGCTTGCTTTTCTTCGCAAACCAGCGACCAGTGAGCGCACACATCTCAGCGCCCACATTTTAGAACTGGGCTGACTAAACACACACTCCAGACGATCCATGCACTTGCCCACGTTGTGGGCTGCTTCGCAGACCGTTGGCACGCAAGCGCACCGAGTGCGTCCATCTTTCCTCCTCCATCTCTCCATCTCTCCATCTCTCCACTTCTCATCCTCCTTATCACGGCTTCGTCACTTTTTTCTTTGTTTCTAATGGGAACTTCTAAGTTCGAACTGTGATGGTAGGGGGCTAGGAGGGGTTGGAATAAGGCTGATTTCATGGGGTTTCAGGGGGTGAGAGGGCTAGGAGGGGAAGGGGGTGGGGGATGTGTTTTTTGGAGTGGATGCAGGACATGGCTGAGTTCGTGGCTTCTCATCTGCGGTTTTGTGCGCAGGTCACAATGACGAGCCACATGTATACTTCCGCTTTGATCAAGCAGCATGGCCATGAAGACGGGGCCCGTGAAGGAGGGGTTGAGGCAGGTGCTGATCCACATGGCAAGGGCAACTGATGGCGGCAGCAGTCTTCCTAGTGTGTCCAGTCTGGTCGCTGCATCGACAGGTGTCACGAATGTGAGTGGGGATAGAGGAAAGGTGATTACTGCATCCACCTTGCAGTGCTTAAAAAAAGAATTAAAAAAAATCTGGACGGGAGATGGCCGCACCTGACAGTGCGCGGCCCTGTGCGGTCCTTTACGGTATGGGTATGGGCCTGCACGAAGGTTGGGGAGGTCCCGGACCGGACCCTGTATGGCGCACTGGACGGTGCGGCGCGCTGTGCAGTTGCAAGTACGCTCCAGACTTGATCTCGCGTGACGTCTTTTGGCAATTATCATGATTGTTACACAGCATTACAGTTCAACATGCATTGACCCTTGCTGTGAAGAAAACTCCCCGCCTCCCAGGAAACGGAACAAGAAAGAAACGGACAACCATTGGCACAACAAAAAAAAAAAAGACAACCATTGGCACATACAAGCACCCCCATTATCTAAAGTGAAAACAGACATAGAAGCAGGATGAGCAGATGCAATGGAGGTAAGAGCTCACCGCAAGAGGAAGAGGAGGAAGAGGAGGAGGAGGAGGAGGAGGAGGAGGAGGAGGGGGGAAAGGTTAAAGGGCAACCGAACCTTGAGGCTGTGGCGTAGGTTTTTGAAAGTTGGCTGCAGCTCCTGTGTAGCCAGCGCTCTGATGACCTTGATAGCACTCTGTCATCAGTAAATTCCAATTACACATTGAATCAACTGAAAACGCGTGAAAGCACTCCCAACGGTCCAACGGACCCCAACCACTTAACGCACCCTCACCAGTACCATATATGCGGGCAACACACTTTTGAGCCAGTGCGGATTTGTACGGACACCTGCTTCAGGAAGAAAGAGAGTAACAGCCACAGGAGTTGTTTTCGTGGATGCCTAATACTGCCTACAGAATCAATAGTATAGCAATAGTATAGATAGATTCACTTAAAAATTCTTTATAGAAGTCAAAAGTTAGCTGCAGCCCCATTGGAGTACATACAGCAGTTCTGAAAGGTTTGCTGGGGAGTTAAAATAGGGTGCAACGAGCACATGGATGCTCTGCTCTTCGTTCAAGTTGTGTGAACAGAATGAAGAGGTTGGAATGGAATCAGAGACTGCAAAGAAAAGAGGAGAAAGGACTGGATAATAGTGGATAATAGTGGATAATAGTGGATAATACTATAATACTATAATACTATAATACTATAATAATAGTGGATAATAGTGGATAATAGTGGATAATAGTGGATCTGTCTCTTATACACATCTAGATGTGTATAAGAKAMWRCTATAATACTATAATACTATAATACTATAATAATAGTGGATAATAGTGGATAATAGTGGATAATAGTGGATAATAGTGGATAATGGTGGATAATGGTGGATAATAGTGGATAATAGTGGATAATACTATAATAGTGGATAATAGTGGATAATACTATAATACCTGTCTCTTATACACATCTAGATGTGTATAAGAGACAGGGATAATAGTGGATAATAGTGGATAATACTATAATAGTGGATAATAGTGGATATGCAAAAACTGAAATGGAAAAGCAGCCCAGATAACAGAACCGGATCAGAAAGACGACCAACTGGATATGAAAAAAGGAACAGATAAGCAAACGGATAACGAGACTGAGTCAAAACGATGAACACTTAGATGGTATGCAAACTGGAATGGATAAAAGCATCCGTTCGAGAATTCGAGAAATCAAAAATGTGGGTGCTTTGGGAGATGTTGAGAGTTGAGATGTAGGAATGGTGACAATACAGTGTGTAAGAAACACAAAGCAGAGCGCTCATAGTCACAAGGTGACACGTAGACGTAACTCAGGTAACCATTGGTTCCACCTTTCGAACTTCTCACCCAAGAACCGCCGCTTACACATTCCAAACCCGCATTGACGTTCTGGGTCGTCACGGTCCGTGTCAATGCTAGGAGAGGTCTTCCATACTCTACACCTACGTATTAATAGTGGGCAACGGGCACGAAAAAGTCGCAGTCCAGCCACCTCCGGAGAGGCTGGTGGACCAGGCAAACTGCGAACCACTTAATCATACGGCTAAAACCGTCCAAATACCTAGTGCTTACATCCAAAACTATTTTTACGGGACCAACAGCCCAGTGTCAAGCTCCAAAAAATCCAAAGGGCCCAACCGGTTGGGTACCGGTAACAGGTTCGAGGCTCAATCAACAACTCATGAAAAAAACACAGAAAAGACAAAAAAGAAAACGCACTAAGTAACTGGTAACTGGGTCGAGGCCCTGCTAACACACGTCTCTGCCTACACAGCCTGGTGAAACGGTTTTCACCTTTTGCAGTAGCAGATGCAGACCCCAGGGCTCGATCCCTAGCCCTTACCCTACCGGTGTACAGTATCTGTGTCGACCCCGAGGCTTGAACCCACGACCTGTGTATTTGTAACAGCTAGTAGACTGTCGTAGGGTCCGTAGGTAGCAGGGGTTCGCTCTGTAGATCTGTAGAATAGAAGTCTTAGTGAGTTCCAGAAGTCTTAGCTGTAGTCCTTCTAGAAGGTCAAGCAAGTGGGCAAGTGGGCAAGTGGTGGACCAACTGCGGCACGTTCGCAGTACGATAGCGGTAGGATAGCAGTGAGTTCCCATTCAGTCAGCGGTAAGGTCCAGTCTGTCCCAGTCCGGTCCAGCAAGTACCACGAGGGACTGTGAGCACCATGGCCCGATGGAAAAGGGCAGACCAACGAGCTTCAGAAGTATAAATCAAGAGGCAGCGCCCAGTCATTCATTCATTCCTGCGTGAGCCATGAGGAAGCGCTGCCACAGCAACTTGCGCAAGGAGGTCTGCAGTGAGCCCGGAGCCGAAGTGGGCGAGAGAAGAAGAAGTGTAGCATAGCGATAGGGTAGTTGCGGCCATAGCCGCCATAGCTAGAGTTAGTGTGTAGCGTGTGTGTGTGTGTGAGTGCTGAGTAACGCGTGTGGGATATCCAGGGTGATCCGGTGTATGCGAACGGTGAGTTGTTTGGGCACTGAGTCGCCATAGTCATTGAAAGTGAACTCGTATCTGGGTTTCCATATCTCTGAGTTTTGAGTGGGCGCATGTCGCCAGTTTGCTGCGCTACTGTTTGCATGCATATAAAGTGTGAATGAAAGC